CTTTCCCTAGGAATATCCCCCAATCCTCACTATTTAGAAACTAGTTTATGACTTGAGAGCTTTATATCCCATGCAAAATGTATTAGTCAACGAGACCTGATGTTTTTACGGAAAATACACAGTATCCAGAGCTCATGCCAGGTTATTGGTTAACATGTACTACACTTACTTACTACATGATCTCTCAGATGAATAACACCTGGAGCAGCTCTGTTGCACTGGAAATCATCCGTAGTGCCCATATGAATATAAACAACTCCACTGTAGACATGTCATTAGTACCAAACCAGATATCCCAGACTCCCCTTCTTCACATGTGGAAGTCTAGCACCAAACTGTTTCTCTTCTCCTCAAAAAATGTCAATACCAATTGCTCAGAACAGATTTGCCCCCACCCCTGCTGCCCCCAGCTTTCAGGGGAGAATAAAACTGTCTGTGCTAACACTCCTTCCAGGTGAGCCAATCCTTTTTAAATATCGCAGCAGATTTCTATGTTAAGGTGCTTTATAAATCAGTGTGTGTTATAGCAAATTCAATGACCTGTTTCTGTGAAATTGCCAGAATGAACAGAAAGCCAATGTTGTTAAATGGTTGGTTTTTTTCTTCTCTCTCTCTTAGGATGGATTCATAGACTTCTTGGAGTTCATAGCTGCAATAAATTTGGTTATACGAGGGAAAATTGACCAAAAATTGAAATGGTATTTTAAGCTATATGATGCTGATGGAAACGGATGTATTGACAAAAAAGAACTACTAAGCATATTCACGGTAAGCAAGTTATGACCAACAGCAAGAGCATTTGACATAGTGCATTGCCTCTGAAACAGTGGGTTCATCATGTGTTGTAAACGGATTGTCTGTACCTTGCCTAATGTTTTACAGTTATAAAACTAGAATTGTTCTGGCTAGCGACACTCCTGCCATTAGTTTCTTGCTTATTGAAGGAAACATATCTAAGTAGTATTTTACTTAAACCATAGTTCTACAGCTATAGTGCTTTACTGAAAGTGAAAAACTGTAGAAACTGTAGAGACATTATTGTGATAAACTATACTATAGGGCAGGGTAGAACTGAAGCAGCATAGTGAATAAAAGAGCTGGTTACAAGTGTTTGTGCCAGTCTGTTGTGGGAAACCGGCTTCTCAAACTGAACTTGCTGCAAGAAACAATACAGGTGTCATCAAAATATTCCAATATTTTAATTTTTTGAAAGGCTTTTAGATTTATTTACTACAAATGCCACTACACCTATTTTAAAATTAAATAGGGGAAAATTCATTTTATCATTAAATCATGCAGCGACATTTGGATACAAATATTGTAGAAAATTTTGCAGAAAATGGGTCCATTTCAAACCCATAAAACCGAAGCGGTGTAATTCTTTCTTTGAAATTATTTTTGTATTTTTCAACTTGCTCTAGTGAAATATATTTTGCACTTCAGTAACTGCTTTCATCCAAAAGGTACGATAGCGTTCCTTGCAAATATGAACGACAATACTGCTCCCTAAATGTAGAGGATTTGTTACAGATCAAGATTTTGCTGCAGGGAGCATAAAATCTAAATAGGGATTTAATGTCATAATAACCAAGGAATGTACTTTGCCTGGATTCTGTATTATTGCTAGTGCCTGGCTAGTCACTGTTAGAGACTTTCAAGAGCTGCTGCCCAAGTTAAAAGGAACTGGAGCCACATGGAGCCACGGGGTCAAACAAATAAAGTTGATGTATCACATTCTAAAGAGCAGCTTTCTAAAGGCAGAAGGAGAGGCTCCCAGATTTCTCCTCGTTTAAGACTAATGACATCTTTCTTTTGCACATATTCTCCATCATTTTTCACCCAGCAGCAATGAGGTGACTGTGTTTTGTTTTGGGCTTTATCCAAAAAGAGAATTAAAATCCCTTTAATGTAAAGAAGATTTCGTTTTCAACTTACTTGGGTTTAAAACCAGTTTAAACCTCTGTGTGTTTTCTTCTCTTTTGGAGTACAAGAACTTTAACTTAAACCTGCCTAAGCCATTTGACCTAGGCTAGATTAAAATCAGTGGGCTCTAAGCAAAAATAAAAACACAGGCTCATAGCCATTAAGGGCCCTGCTTATACTAAGCATCAGTAAACAAGGACTTGTCTAAAAAGATATGTCATATCTGAGACATTAAGTTAAATCACAGAAGTCCTACTAAAACTTCATCTGTCCCTACAGCTATGCAAACTTTGGACCAGCAGCTCATTTTCAACCATCAGAATTCCTTCCAGACAACCATGCACCCTCTCAGTGCCTTTCAACAGCCGTTATTTTATTTTACTGTTTAAGGTGATTCTGTGGTAGTCAGTGATTCAAGGACTTTAGGAACCACTGCTTTACTCTTAGCACTATAACAAATTTAACTGTGGCAGAGGTACAACCTTCTTCTGAAGAGTGCATCAGTCAGACATATAAAACACCAGAAGTATCTAAAGTATGAATTAGTCATACAAACAAGTTTATGTACCTGTTTTTGTAAAATTCTTGCTGCCTTTTTGAACTCATTTGTGCAAACTAAGCTAAAGACAGTGATGGTCAAGTATTCCACATCAGTGCTGAACAGGTTTAAATTATGTTTTATTTAAATATAATGAGTTCTGAAATAGTATCAGGAATACCGAAGGAAACAACTGGCACATACAGTGAATTACCTTACACTCCACAGTTCATCTCAAGATAATTCAGGTGTAGAAAAACAAATTCTATAGTATGCCCATTATAGAACATATGTGCATGTGTGTTTATACATATATGTGTATGTATTTTCCCAGTCACTTACTAATTGTGATATTGAGTCCAACTCTGTAAACATACGCTTGTTGCTTCTGGACCACTGGCTATTAACATATAGACTCCTATTTTGCTAACCCGAATGATCACCATAATGCAAAAATTACTGTCTCAGTGAATGGGACACAATTTTGCAAAAATATTCATGTATACCTTTACTCCAAATATTGGGTCCTTTTGCCACAGAAAAAGTAGAGGGGAGACTTCTAGTTTTCTTAATTTCTTTGGAGGACAAGTAAATTTTGCCAACTTCCAGGACTGCTCGTCTGACTGTATTTGTGATTACTAAGTTAAACACGTCTTAATAGAAAAATTACTTAGGCTTTCTCCTCATGTGCCTTCAGCTGTGAAAAAAAAATACTATATTTAAATCACACAGACAATAGGGCACTCTCCGAAGACACAGAACTCTCTAGGGCAACATAAAAACGCTGGTGTGGAATCTAAAGTGTATTGCAGAGCAGAGGTGCCACATGGTTTCAGAAGACCTTCAGAGATATGTAAATTAGCCTGTAATCTTCAGGCTGTTTTATGTTAATTAAATTTTCAGTCCTCACTACTGAAGATTTACTTGAAATAGCTATTTATTTAGCGATTTTTGAAAGAGTTGGTGAACTAAAGAGCTGCATGGCAATTACTGCAGTTGCCAGTGTATTGTTTTCACAACTTGATGGAAAAGAAGTCTGAAAGAACTTTCTGCATTTCTGCCTTCAGGCTATCCAGGCTATTAATGGCCACACCAACATGTCTGCTGAAGAGTTCACAAACATGATATTTCAGAAGATAGATGTGAACAACGATGGTAAGAATCTAGGTTTTCTTGGCATTGGCAGGGATTTTCCCCCGTAAGTATGGGATCAAGAGGGGAGTTGAACACACTACTGAAGAACTGACTGGTTTAGACGAACTGAAAGCCTGAATCTGTTCTTTACCCATATTTCTTCAGCTTTACAGTGAAGCGTAAATCAACTGACTCTACTAAGCTGACACAGGAATTACATGCAGTAGGGCCTAAAACATGGAGGTCTTGCACTGTTCATCCAAAATGCCAGTACTCTGGTTGCACGGCAAAATGAAAGTGTAAATGATGAGGTTTTTTAGTATATTTGTGTTGGCTTAATCTAACTAAAATGGAGAAGAAAACCAATTAAGATGCGTGGTTGCACAGGCTCTAGCATGTTCTAAAGATTGGACAGCATATTGGATGTCCCTTGAAGGCTGATCGTTAACACATGCTAAGACACATGCTACTGTTTTTTCTCAAGATAGCTAGATTAAGCCAATTGGATTTGCATTTGGAAAGTAAAACTTTAATTCACTGCTTCAGAGTTGTTTCTAACAGAAAACCTGTCACATGTGAATGTCTCCCCTCATACTGCTAATCATGAAGTTCCTCCTTCCACTGGCAATTATGTTTTACAGTAATTACTGCAATCATTGACAAATTAGGAATATTAGGAAAGCATTGCAGAGCAAAATCAGATCCCAGCCAGGAATTCCAGGCATTTTTTTGTTCATATTTCTGGTCTTATTTAGTGTGTTAAGTTACTTTTAAAAAAGCTGTTTGCAATATATAATCAGAGTATAAACAGTGATCTTGTGATGCATGTGAATAACTCAGAGAAGACTTTTTCCCCACCTGCTTGGCCCATCTTTTGGGTGAAGGCAAATTACTAAAGGACTCCAAATAACATAAAGTCATATTCTAGAATCTAACCCAAATTCTATGATTATTCATACTTTGGCCCCTGCTTTGACCATATGTTTACTGCAAGTAATAACTGTATCTGAGCTAGACCATCAGCTGAAAAAATAACTTTTGCATCTTATGTTTTAGTAATGAAATGCCAGAACATGAATTATTCAGAATTATCTTCATAATACTCCCATTTCAAACTGCTTTCTATAGTTATTTTTTAAATAGCTGCAAAGCAGCAGGACTAGCTCCACCTGAGGAATACGACAAATTTTACCAAGTTTAGCTTAAACTATGCTACCTCCTTGTAGCTTCTTATTAAAGAAAAGGGAAAAGAGACAAATAAGTTGCAATGTCCTTCCTCACATTAAAATATAAGAAATAATCCCATAGTCATAGAGAGCAATTCTTAAAACAAATATCCTGATGGCTTTGCAGTTTATTTTCATTAGCTCAAGGAAATCTGAGACCCATCGCAGTCGCAGTGAGTCTGGGCATGCCAGTGTAACCTCATCTCACGGGTAACTGCAGTGGGTTTTATACGCTTGCACACTGGTATTGGTGCTTTGAAATATATAGCCTGGGATCAATAGGAGGGAATTCAAGGACAGTTGACCTGCAGAAGCAGTCCAGGAACCCCATCCAACCAAAGATCTCAGTCAAAGGCAATACAGAGGGAAGGAGATGGGAAGTAAGAGGAGTGCCTGGGATAGGAGGAGAGATCGGAGGAAGCGAGTGGATGAGTGGCAAAGCAGGAGGACGCAGACAAGCGTAGAGAGGCAGCTTGTTCTGTCTCTGCTCCCGGGATGAATATCTAAGGGCACCGGGGTTGAAAGAGGAGGTGTGAGCACCCTCAGGGCACTGCACACCAACCCCTGGAGAGGGTCTCACTCCTCTCACTGAAGCCTAAGAGCCAGGACTGCTGTCAAATGATGTCTTTCCACTTTAATAGTGTGCATATGAGCCTGCTCACCTGTGCAGTGAGGACCCATATGACTAAAGAGGATGCATCCTTTACTGCCCATGGGTAGAAAGTGGTTTTTGCATTTTCCAAATGCTGATCATTTTCCTTTTTCACATCGGGGAGTTAAATCCAAAAATAGCCAAAAGTCACCTGGCTAAGCATTCACCAGAAGTGCACGCAACTTGAATTGCTGCCCCCTGCACCCTGGGGCCCTAAGTCATCCAGCTATCTTCCTCTTTGCCTGGCCTCTTGTCATTTATTTCAGTGAGAAATCATTCATTGTTGTGATTTTAACAAGAACCTTTAAACAGTTCTCAGAGGAAAGAATCAAGCTCCTGCTATTAAACCAAGCTCTGTTTCCCCTTTCAGAGAAAAGCAGTATCACTGGAATAACTTCTAACCAGAGACCTGTGTACACTCCTGTGTACCATGTGAGCAGGCACATGCCTAGGACCGGCCTTTGCCTCTGCTGACAGGGAAGAGAGCAGGAAAAGCAGAAGAATGCTAAATGATACTCCTGCTCCTCAGTAAAAGAGATTTTAGAGTTGTCTCACAATTTCCAAGGTATTACCTGATTTTGACATAAGCCCAAAAAATCATGCTCTAAATGACCATTTCAGTTGCTTGGAAGAATTGATCTAATCAAACCATTTAACCGATTTTTTTACTATATGTTATCGTGGCTCTAAATAATCCTAGTAGTCAACACAGGGAGCATGCCTGGTAATCCTCAGCAAATCATGCCGTAATCTCTGGTAAAACCAGCTGTAAGATAAATTCCAGTTAGCTCAGTGAGAATTGGTCCATACCTCTAAACTCAGCCTTGATACAGGCTTCATTAGCGCCCTTTTTCACACATTTCTGTTCCCATAGATACTGAGCACTCATAGTTGTCTTAGACTTCTGTGAAAGGTGCGCTTGATCTCTTTTAACAGAAAAAGGCAAGTCTGAGTTCTAGGATGTGATGCAAAGTGGGAAAACAGAAAATATTCTGCCTGCATTTGCCTATCAGCAGAGAATGGGGAACCTTCCTGAGGGATTCAATCTGGCATGAATGGCCTTGTGTTGGGCTGGGCTCCTCGGTTCCTCAGGAGTATCTGATTTTCTTCTAGGGGAATTGACTTTAGAAGAATTTATCAATGGTGTGGAAAGAGACAAGGACCTAATGGAATTGATTACAAAAAGTTTTGACCTTTCCAACGTACTCAAAGTCATACAGAGCGGCAGGAGACACAGCATCTGAAGGATCCAGTGATGGACGTGGCATCTGTGTCGTCATTTCAAGGAAGATAATATTTGATACATTCAGAGAACTTGATGTCGTCAAAGCCTGCCCAGGCAATACCGAGCAGCCTGCTCCAGGAGTAACAATTTTCACCCTTGACTCCGTATCTCTCCTTTTCTTTTCTTTATTCTTTCCCTCGCCAATGACTGTGGCAGCCACAGAACACAAAGCTTTGCCCACATATAACAGAAAAGCTATTTGATGCAGTACAAATAACTTATTTATTCTCTATGAACACTGTTCAGAGTAATCAATAAAACAATGAAAATATCGCAAAATGCAACCTTTCTAGAAGACACGGAGTTAATACATTTCTTCCTTTAAGTATGGGCTCTTTAACCTACTATCTAAAGTGTGGACACAAACTTCTAGGTAGGACTGGGCTCTATCCGGATGAATTAAGAATGAAGCATGGTTTGCATTAACTTAACATTTGCTCTAATCGGTACTCAAAATTGGAGTAGGTTCTCTGGGAAACACCTCAGTCAGCTTAATATTCCTGAGGTGTGCATCCTCCTTAACAAGCTGTCTAACACTTTTGATTTTATTACATCTGTAAATTAAAATAATGTGATGTTTTGATGGTTTTGGCAGGGTTCAGCTACTGTTCTTTCAAATTAACCTTTTATAGAAGCGCTGGAATGAAATTTTATTATCTTTGTAGAGTAAAATTAGAAGTTCAAAGAATAGCTAAAACCAAATCATTTTGTAAGCACTCTGTTTTCCCAGAGATCTGTGTCCTTTCACTTCTATGTCCTCCTTTTCTAAACACTTCATTTTCACTGGGCTCTTTGCCACGGGCATATGAGGCAAAAGGTAAGAGGTATCGTGACTAGTTCCTGC